ATTTTCTTGCAAAATGTGTTCAATAGCGAAAACATGCATTAAGCAGAAAGCAGGAATAACCTTAAAGCATAGAGCATTTCTACAGAAAATCATGAAAAAATGACTATTTTTCAACAAAAGTGTTAGATATTTATCCCAAAAGTTGTTTTTTGCTTAAATAGTTTACTGTAGCACCTAAGAAGGAAAACTTGAGGAAGAAATTTACAATTTTTTTCAAAATCATCAGACGGCATCAGTTCTAATTTCATCTCTAGCAAGATATTCGTTCGACTGATACTGTTTTCCCCCTAAATTCTCCAATTCTGACTAAATTTTCTGGCAAAGTGTGTTCAATAGCGAAACCATGTATTAAGCCGAAAGTAAGAATAAACTTTAAGAATAGAACATTTCTACGGAAAATCGTGAAAATTATGTTGCAGAAGCAACAGAGAGAAATCATCAGTTATGAAGAAGATTTTGTTGAATTTGAACCAATATCGAATAAATTTTTGAGAAAAATTTATCTCATTTTTAGTCAATTGTAGCAATTAACTGCTCATTTTTCATCATTGAACTCCAATTCTGTACTATTAAGGTGAATAACTTCTCTGAATTTGTATTTTTTGTACAAATTTGGGTTGATCATTGAGCAAAAATCTAGAATTTTCATGGAATATTGCTCTTAATGTTCATTTGTATTGAGTTCTATTTCAATTCTCCCTGAGTTGGACAAAAAATCAGTTAATTATCCATTTAAAAGGTTGAATTGGAAATTTTTTGACAAATTTGAATAATTTTTATTTTACTTTTTTGAAAATTACGGTTATTTTCACTATCTTCCGCAAGTTTCAATTTCGATTCAGCTTTTATGAGCTTTCTTGTTAATGTTGAGAGCATTAAATAACCCGCTTTGTTACTCAAATAATGCTAAAATTTATTGTATTTCAGTTTTTTTTGTGAAAAATTTGGAAAAATTGATATTTCTATTCAAAGTTTTGTATCATCGTCTCAACATCATGCCAATTGAAACACAATTTGAACTTAATTTTAAACTCTAAACGTATTTACTTTTTGTTCAATCAGATCAGAAGCAACAAAACACTAGCCAAAATCTTCAGATTTTTGCAGTTCTTTTCAAAAATTTGCAGTTTAATCCAAAAACATTGAAATTTTTGCATTTTTTTCCGAAATCTTTGAAATTTTTGTATTTTTTCCCAAAAACTTGAATTTTTTTTGCAATTTTTTCCAAAAATTTGACTTTTTTCGAAGTTTCAGTAGATTTCGGCATAAATTCAGGTAGATAGAAAATAAGATTATTCAATAAATTAGATCGAATTACAATAAAACTTTGTGTTTTAAAGTTTTTAAGAAAAATTTTGAATTTTTGTGACAAAAACTCCAAGTTTTGCCCAAAAACTCTTACCATTGACTTACCATGTACAAGAAAACTGAAGAAATAACCTTAATTTCTTAACCTACACGTAATTAACCAGTATTAACTAACAATTAGATAATCCGAGCTATAATTTTTGCGAAAAAACTAGACATTTCCACACAAGAACCAAATTTTTTTTCAAAAAATATGATTTTTTTCTCGAAGTTTCGTTAGATTTCAATATGGCTTTTAGATAGCTTTCTCGTTGAATCAAAACTATAAAATAATAACTAAAACATCTGAACCGTAGAAGCTAGCTAAGAAACGCAAGTATCGACAAAATCGAGCTAAAAAAACTCGGTTACCAAATTTTTTTTGAAACTTACCATCTGAAACCTTACCATCTTAATACATAGGAAACATATTCCCTATCTTAATACATAGGGAAATCTATTCCCTAAAGAGTTCTTAATTACCTACAAAGGATGTCTTAGACATAGGGAAATCTATACATGGGAAATTCGGGCGCCGAAAATTTTTCTGAAACTTACCATCTTACCATCTGAAACCTCGTATCTTAATACATTGGGAAACCTATTCCCTATCTTAATACATTGGGAAATTTATAGCCTATGTTAAAACATAGGGTGAGGACCGGATACTCTATAGCCTATGTTAATACATGGGGGTCTTCACCCTCCCCCCTTGAACTGCCCCAACATACACTACTTACTCGGGACCTTACCCTTCTGATAAGGTACCTCAACTAACAAAATACTCTTTTGCAATTGTTAACTCAGCTCCAAGCAAAGATAGAGGGGAGCACTGGATCACGATAGCTCGATTGGACAAAACTTACGACTTTACTAATTCTTTGGGTAAAAAAGAACAGCTTTTTCCTTTCTAACAAAAATGTATCGGCGAATGGTTCCCAGAAAACTACAAATACTTTGTGTAAATTTTACGCAATTTATTCAGCCTTTGTTTTTTTTAAATTCTAACAGAGACTTGAATAATATACATGATGTGCATGTTTTGATTTTTATAAGTAATTTTTTGTAAATATGTGGTTTTTTTTGTTTGTAAGTGTAAATTATGGCAGTAATTTTAAAACACGATGCAGTGATTTATATATTTTCATTGTAACTCAATTTTTTTCTCTCAAAAAAATTGACTTTTATCGAAGTTTCAGTAGGTTTCAGCATAAATTTAGCTAAATAGAACACTCTTTCAAAAAGTAATAAAGTAATTAATAGGTCAAGTTATACCAAAAATATCGTGTTTTAAAGTTTTTTTTTGAAAAAAAAAATCAATTTTTCAAATAAAAAAACATCAATTTTTCCCTCAAAAACTCTTACCATTGACTTACCATGTAACAAAATACTAATTGAAAGAGCTTCATTCCACAATCTACATGTAACTGCTCTCAAATCTCCAATTAAACTTATTAAAGATAAATGTAGACAAAATTCAATTCATCTTTTTCTCCGTTCCATCACAAAGAAACGCATAGAAAAGTGCAAGCTGCAAGTAGGAAATTACCAAATCAAATCAAAATATCATAGATGCATGTTTAACTCTGAAAAAGAAATTAACAGAGGGTTACAGAAGATGGCTAATGCAATCCAAACAATCAAATGCATAAGACATGAAATTCTTCTGTGAACCAGAATCCTTTAACTCAATTCCCTCGTTTTAAGCTTTTTACACTATCCATGCTTTTGAGTGGTTGTACTGAAGAAAATTTGGACAAGCTGGGAAAGCAAATACCATGAGTTATACGAATTGTCATAAGAAACATGAGATAATATGTCAAATATTTGAGGAAAAAACACCGAACTTCCACTGCTAGGGATATAATCAAATACAGATCAACACAAGATCTTCATAAATGAAGCCAAAACAGAATTGGACCATTTAACTTCCTGCTCTTTCCGAATTCTTATTTCCTTTTTAAACATTGCCAGGATTGTGTCAAACTGAATTTCTCTGTAGGTCAATCCTACTTCCATCAATAAAAATTTTACCTTGGTAATTCAAAAAATCATCTCCATGAAGAAAACCTGTATGCTATCAAACAAATTAATTTTGAAATTCATACTATGGGAAAAGTTTGAATCGATATAACGTGCAGACTCTACCTACACCCAACTTCCCCTTACCTCTTAAGAGGAATCTTAAATAATCTTAAGTAATCTTATGTTTTCCGTGACTGATGAAACATTTTTGTATTCTTGTATTTAAAAATAATGTACACTTGCTCATCCACAATCAGGATATTGATTAACGAACTATATCTTGCGCTAACAAAAGGCGAAGGAAGCGAAGAAGCCATAACAAAGTGAATTTAAGCCGCCAAATTATCTAAAAAAGATACAAGTAGATACGAAACTCCGTAGAACATCCTTGGGAAATTCGTCAACACCTAGGGCCTCGCTTTGATGCGAAACTCTCAGTTTTTTTTTAAATTCAACGGCACAATTCAAAATTTCATTCTCGAATTTCTGTCAAAAACGCAAGAGTCAGATAGAAGTAGAGAAGTATTAATTTTGCTGTCAGAAAAAGCAAAAAGTTGCACCTTTAGATTAATTTTTTCTCAGTAGGAGGGAATGATGTGATATTTAATCAGTTCCTGGCTGAGTTCAAGAATAAAAACATTTTTTGAACTGTTTGTTCATACGTATGACTAGTTTTCCGGGAAATTTAGCACATCATATCACGAGTCAAAAAAAAACATTGTACGAATTGTGAGCAGACTCTTTTGCTTTTTTCGATTCCACAAACAAATAGCTAAAATACTGCATCGCTTGAAATTGCAGAATCCACAACAGAATAAACCAGCAAAAAACATGTGCATAGTAGAATTACGCTGTTGCGGAATTCATGGCATTGTAACGGAATCCGCAAACTGTAATCAGAACCCGCATTTCGATTGAAGATTCCAGTAACATAACTCAAAGCATTTCAATTTTTGTCCGGTGGTCACCAGCAAGTTCTATCTAAATCATTGCTTCAGTCTTACCCCAAACCGTCCGATCTCAATTACTGCCAACTGAACAAAATGAAGTTAACTACTTTCACTATTTCTTTTCATTTCAGTTTCAATACAGATCAATTAAATCAAGTTCGTTCAATTTCGGCCTCTATCGCAATATTTTAAAATTAGAAGAGATTAGAGATAGGAACCAACCCGAAGAGCTTGAACTGTTTTGATAACTCTAATAATGCAACACAACACAAGGTCTCGCCCAATAAACCTTTCACTGGGGATGAAATCTATCACCGCCAAGTAGGGGTAAAATATGTCACCCCCAATAGATCTCTCGCCTCATTATACTATTTGAGTTCACTCTGATCTCATATCAACTATTGATGAATTGAAATCACTTAAAACATTTGAATTCCATCTGAAAACACTAATTCCACTTATGATTATGAAAATTACTTGATGGGAAATTTATGTCAAACACTAAAAAGTACATCCAGCAATTTAGTTAACCATTGATTTTCGACTTTTTTGTGGGTTCCACTGACTTATAAAATGATTCTAGCTCTAGTTTTTGTTTGCTCATATGAAAAAGCTGGTTTAGTTCAGTAAAAAACTAAATTCAACTTACACTTGTAAAAACCATTTACACTTTGCGGAGTCCGCTTAAATTTGTAAATCCAGAACAACTAGTTACATTCGTTTTTTTGCAGAACCCATGTCAAAACAAATGTGCATACAAGAACAACGTTCCAGATATTTTCACGCGGAATCATGGAAATGAAATGTTGTATGAGGAATTCAATTACAATTTAGTTTGCAACTTGTTTAAAGACTTGTACATGGAATCAACTGACCTAGCGACAACAAATTGTGCGCCTATTCAGTGCACAGTTTGGCCACATAAATCATTTCTGATTATTGTTGCTGATAATATTATCATTCTACTAGATGATAAAAATCATAATCTAAGTCAGTGGGATATTCATTCAAGAAAACAGCTACTCTTCAGACACCACGACAGGCATGTCAGTGTTATTTGTCAGCAACCAAAAAACAACATCCAGACGTTGACTCGTCACAGCAAAATCAATAGGTGTGTTGCCCTTTCTATCTTGAAGTGTGTGTAATGGCGAATCAGATTCTGATGTGCATGTGTTGTATTCTTCAAGCATCATTTTGCTGAACTCAAGATGACCTTTTGAACACGACCAGTGAAATGCTGTCATGCCATCGTTGTCTGGGGATAAAATCAATGCGTTTTTGTCCGACAAGTTCAATGATTTTAAGAGAACAGAAGCAATTTCCGTATTGCCGTTTGCAGCTGCTTGATGAAGTACACTTTCTTTATTTTTGTTTCGTGTTTTCATACAATCCGGTTCAATGCTGACAAGCCAACTAACAATGTCAAGATGATGACTAATCACAGCAGCCGCAAGAGTTGTGTTTCCATCGTTATCTGGAACTATTTGTAATGGTGGATCAATTTCTGACTTGCAATTCTTGTATTCATCAAACAACCACTGGCTGAACTCAAGATGACCATTTGAACACGAAACGTGAAACGCTGTCTTGCTATCGTTGTCTGGCGATAAAATCAATGAACTTTTATACAATGAGTTCATCGATTTTAAGAGAACAGAAGCAATTTCAGTATCGCCGTTTGCAGCTGAGTGATGAAGTACGCTTTCTTGCTTTTTGTTTCGTGTTTTCATACAATCCAGATCAATGCTTAATAACCATCTAACAATGACAAGTTGTTGATTGAACACAGCATTCGCAAGAGGCGAGTCTCCATCGTTATCTTGAACTATTTGTAATGGTGGATCAGATTCTGACTTGCAATTCTTGTATTCGTCAAACAACCATTGGCTGAACTCAAGATGACCTTGTAAACACGACCACTGAAACGCTGTCTCGCCATTTTTGTCTGGCGATAAAATCAAGGAACTTTTGTCCGATGAGTTCAACAATTTCAAGAGAACAGAAGCAATTTCAGTATCGCCGTTTACAGCTGCGTGATGAAGTACACTTTTTTGCTCTTTGTTTCGTGTTTTCATACAATCAAGATCAATGCTGACAAGCCAAATAACAATGTCAAGTTGTTGATTGAACACAGCAATTGCAAGAGGCGTGTTTCCATCGTTCTCTTGAACCATTTGTAATGGTGGATCATTTTCTAACTTGCAATTCTTGTATTCGTGAATCAACCACTGGCTAAACTCAAGATGACCATGTGAACACGAAAAGTGAAGTTCTGTCTTGCCATCCTTGTCTGGCGATAAAATTAATGATTTTTTGTCTGATGAGTTCATCGATTTTAGGAGAAAAGAAGCAATTTCAGTATCGCCGTTATGCATTGCGTGATGAAGTACACTTTTTTGCTCTTTGTTTCGTGTTTTCATACAATCAGGATCAATGCTGACAAGCCAAATAACAATGTCAAGTTGTTGATTGACCACAGCAATCGCAAGAGGCGTGTCCCCATCGTTATCTTGAACTATTTGTAATGGTGGATCAGATTCTGACTTGCAATCCTTGTACTCGTGAATCAGCCACTGGCTGAACTCAAGATGACCTTTTGAACAAGACCAGTAAAACGCTGTCTCGCCATCTTTGTCTGGCGATAAAATCAAGGAACTTTTGTCCGATGAGTTCAACAGTTTTAAGAAGACAGAAGCATTTTCAGTATCGCCGTTTGAAGCTGCATAATGAAGTACACTTATTTGCTTTTTGCTTCGTGTTTTGATACAATCCGGATCAATGTCGACCAGCCATCTGACAATGACAAGTTGTTGACAGATCACAGCAATCGCAAGAGGGGTGTCTCCATCGTTTTGCTGAACTATTTGTAATGGTGGATCAGATTCTGACTTGCAATCCTTGTATTCGTGAATCAGCCACTGGCTGAACTCAAGATGACCTTTTGAACAAGACCAGTGAAACGCTGTCTCGCCATCGTTGTCTGGCGATAAAATCAAGGAACTTTTGTCCGATGAGTTCATCGATTCTAAGAGAAAAGAAGCAATTTCAGTATCGCCGTTTGCAGCTGCCTGATGAAGTACACTTTTTTGTTTTTTGTTTCGTGTTTTCATACAATCCAGATCAATGCTGAATAGCCATCTAACAATGACAAGTTGTTGATTGACCACAGCACTCGCAAGAGGCGTGTCTCCATCGTTATCTTGAATTATTTGTAATGGTGGATCAGACTCTGACTTGCAATCCTTGTACTCGTGAGTCAGCCACTGGCTGAACTCAAGATGACCTTTTGAACAAGACCTGTGAAACGCTGTCTCGCCATAGTTGTCTGGCGATAAAATCAAGGAACATTTGTCCGATGAGTTCATCGATTCTAAGAGAAAAGAAGCATTTTCAGTATCGCCGTTTGCAGCTGCCTGATGAAGTACACTTTTTTGTTTTTTGTTTCGTGTTTTCATACAATCCAGATCACTGCTGACTAGCCAACATACAATGAGAAGTTGTTGATTGACCACAGCACTCGCAAGAGGCGTGTCTCCATCATTATCTTGAATTATTTGTAATGGTGGATCAGATTCTGACTTGCAATTCCTGTATTCGTGAATCAGCCACTGACTGAACTCAAGATGACCTTTTGAACACGACCTGTGAAGCGCTGTCTCGCCATCGATGTCTGGCGATAAAATCAAGGAACTTTTGTCCGATGAGTTCAACATTTTTAGGAGAACAGAAGCATTTTCAATATCGCCGTTTGAAGCTGCGTAGTGAAGTACACTTACTTGCTTTTTGTTTTGTGTTTTCATACAAACCAGATCAATGCTGATTAGCCATCTAACAATGACAAGTTGTTGATTGACCACAGCACTCGCAAGAGGCGTGTCTCCATCATTATCTTGAATTATTTGTAATGGTGGATCAGATTCTGACTTGCAATTCCTGTATTCGTGAATCAGCCACTGACTGAACTCAAGATGACCTTTTGAACACGACCAGTGAAACGCTGTCTGGCCATCGTTGTCTGGCGATAAAATCAAGGAACTTTTGTCCGATGAGTTCAACAGTTTTAAGAGAACAGAAGCGTTTTCAGTATCGCCGTTTGCAGCTGCGTGATGAAGTACACTTTCTTGCTGTTTGCTTCGTGTTTTCATACAATCCGGATCAATGCTGATCAGCCATCTAACAATGACAAAATGTTGAAAGGCCACAGCATTAGCAAGAGGCGTGTATCCATCGTTATTTTGAGCTATTTGTAATGGTGGATCAGATTCTGACTGGCAATTCTTGTATTCGTGAATCAACCACTGGCTGAACTCAAGATGACCTTTTGAACACGACCAGTTAAACGCCGTCATGCCATTCTTGTCTGGCCATGAAATCAATGAATTTTTTTCCGATGAATTCAACGATTTTAAGAGAGCAGAAGCAATTTCAGTACTGCCGAATGCAGCGAGGTGATGAAACACAGTTTTGTCGTTTTTGTATATTGTTTTCATACAATCCGGATCAATGCTGACAAGCCAACTAACAATGTCAACATTATGACTAAGCACAGCAATCGAAAGAGGCGTTGCTCCTTTGTTATCGACCGCAATAGTGTGTAGTTCTCGCTGACTGGTCCCCTTCGATTTGTGCCGGTCGCGGAAATACTGGAGCAGCTTCAAATGACCACAAAAAGCAGCAAGGACAAATGGTGAACTCATCATATCGCTTGCTTTCGCGGGTCGAGATTTTGCTCAAAAACTGCTCAAGATATGAGCGGTTTGAGCGGTTTTTTAGCAAGATTTGAGCGGTTTGAGCGGTTTGAGCGGTTTGGGCGGTTTGGGCGGTTTGGGCGTTTTTTTTGGAAAACCCGCTCAAACCGCTCAAAACTTGATTAAAAGACCGCTCAAAAACCGCTCATTTCTTGCGGTGATTTTTGAACGGTTTCTCAAGCAAGACGTGACGGTTTTAAGCGGTTTTTGAGCGGTCTTATAAAGAAAACCGATTAAAACCAACAAAAAGGGCTGGAAAGTTAATGTGACCCCGGGTTGACCTCCATAAACCGAAAACGCTTATTTTAAATTTCCCCACACCGAAGAAGCTTATCATACAATTGCGTGCATCAAATGCATTGAAAAATGCTAATCACACAATTTTCATACAATTTCAAAAAACCCTTGAAAAAGATTCAATCTAGTTTCTCCGGCTATTTGAACCAATACAATAGTCTGGTGATGAAAAATAACTACATTTATTTTTTTGAAAAAAATGGTTATCATACAATTTCCATATTTAAAAGTTGTATGATAACCATTTTTTCATAAAAGGCAAGATTTTCAGAAATTGCTTAAACTTGTTTATAAACAAACTTAAATTATTTAAGAGTGCTTTTGCTCAATTTAAAGGACATTGCTCATCAAAAACGAAAACTTAATTTGAATCTAAAAAAGTAGTTATCATACATTTTGCAAATATGAAAACTGTATGATAACCATTTTTTCATAAAAGGCAAGATGTTCAGAAACATGTTAAAACTTGTTTTTAATCGAATATAATGTAATTAAGAGTAGTTCTGAATTTGGATCAGAAATCATATTAATGAACATTAATTACGTATGTGTTGAATAATTTTTGTTTTCTCGCACGTGTAAAATTTAGTTTTTTATAGGAAATGAATTTATGCTGATGACAGAACTTGCGGATCACAACTGGAGTATGTTTGCTTGGAGAATGTATCCATCAGGAAAACAGATTTTTTGGCGTTTGAGACAAGTCCCTTATGGTTTTAGTTCATCTGGAGTAGCCTTAGGACATTTTTGCTCACTCAAGAGTTGAGGAGATTTTCCTACAGATAATGAAGAGTTTGAGGTTCCAACCTCTAAAACCCTCTGATTTTTCTGTTGGTTCTCTTCTCTGTTCAGAGATTGCATGTCTTATGGGTAAGTTTAAACGCTAATTGAGCCTCATTTGAATTTCCAAACAATGCTTATCTTACAGTTTCCATATATGAAAAAAATGCTTATCGTAAAAATTCCACATATGAAAAAATGCTTGTCTTACAATTTTCATTTATGATAAAATGCTTATCTTACAATTTCCATTTATGAAAAAATGTTTATCCTACAATTTCCATATATGAAAAAATGTTTATCCTACAAGTTCCATTTATGAAAAAATGTTTATTCTACAGTTTCTATAATGAAAAAACACTTATCCTAGAGTTTTTTTTTACAATTTTCTGGGTCTATGAAACTGTAGGAAATTGTAGGACAAGCATTTTTTCATATATGAAAATAGTAGGATAAGCTTTTTTGGTCAACCCACGCTAAGATGCAGTTATAATACTATCTACAATTTAAAAAATGTGCTTAACCGTTCTTAAATCAATCAATATTTTTTTGATGTCTTGACCAAAAACAATGAGAGCGAGTTTTTTCAAATGCTCGAGCAAAATAACCACCGGAAAATATGTAAGATTTGAGCGGTTTCTTTAGACAATTACGCTCAAAACCTTGCTTCAAAATGAGCGGTTTGATCGGTTTTCGAACGGTTTATCTAAAAAAACAGCCCAAAAAACTGGCAAGATTTGAGCAGTTTGAGCGGTTTTTTCAGACAATTATGCTCAAAATCTTGCTTCAAAATGAGCGGTTTGAGCGGTTTTCGAACGATTTATCTGAAAAAACCGCTCAAAAACCGCGCAAGATTTGAACGGTTTTGAGCGGTTTATCTAAAAAAAACCACTCAAAAACCGCTCAAAACTTGCGCGGTTTTTTAGATAAACCTCTTAAAACCGTTCAAATCTTGCGCGGTTTTTGAGCGGTTTTTTTAGATAAACCGTTCGAAAACCGCTCAAACCGCTCATTTTGAAGCAAGATTTTGAGCATAATTGTCTGAAAAAACCGCTCAAACTGCTCAAATCTTGCTTCAAATTAGGTGAAAAATCTCGACTCGGGTGCTCTATATAGGAATTTTGTTCTTCATCGGGAGTGGCTTCCAGAATCATTTCGGCAATTCGTAAATTTCCGAACATTGCAGCTATATGTAATGACGTAATTTTTCCATCGGGATGTATATATGTCGCTAGAGAAGAGTTCTGTTCCAGCAGAAACCGAACAGTTTCTTCACACTCTTTAAAACACGATGATAAGAACAACCAGCCACAATTGTCTCTCAGAAACGTTTGTCGTTGAGAACTTTCCAGTATGTCGAATATATAGAATAATGTTGGTTTGTGACAATTAAACGTTAGCAAATATTCGAGACGGTCATAACGCGTTTGCCTAATAACTTCAGCTATTGTGGGTAGCTCCCTGCAACCTTTCAGAAAATGTCCACATTTGGGAGTTTTGAAAAATGCTGGCAGCCACACACTGCTAGAATTGTAAGCATGGTCGCGATGTAGTTGGATAATGTACTTTATGAGATTAAATACATCTGGTTTCTCGGAGTCTCCTTTCAGGAATAATACTTCTAAAAGAGAGGATACAAGCTTTGTATCATCTATCAAATGTTGCTTTATATCGGTTATCTTGGGAAAATTGTCACTGCGAATTTGCAGAACAAGTTTGTCGCCGGCATGATTATGATAGGTATCAATCACGTCACACACTGTTGAGTTTTCCGTGTATATGATAACACTTTTCACAGCTCGTGTTATCATGCTGTAAACCACTGAGAGAAGAAGATCGTGAAATTCATTCCCGATAAAAATGCAAACGTGATCCCATTCTGTCCCAGTGAACTCCAAATCGTCTATTTTAGACACACTTTCCATGTTAACATTAATTAGCTTCGCTTTATGTTGTATCGTGTTGTGACTGAGTGTTGTATAAACTGAGAATACAACTGAATTTGAGTTCTGTAACATTAAACAAGAATTATGCATATTTACCATTTAAAACGGTGGAAATTTTCAACGGTGGTCATCGCTCGATCAAATTTTGCAAAATTAGATGAAAATCATTTCTCTCACCAAATTGTTGATCAACAAGTGAAAAGGAAAAATGGATCAACAAATGAAGGGGAAAAATAAAAAGAACGAACCATTTCACGTATGACATGTTGCTGATCTTGGTCTGAGGGCGAAATTCGTATCAACTGGAAAGATTTTTTGTTCCCCGATGAGAAGCATTTGAAAAGAACAGCAGACCAAGCATCGAGTTCTGGTAATATCCATTTATTCAGAATGTACGTAGATAGTCCAGATATATGCGCGGAACTTCTGTATAGTACCGTAAGAAAACGCGTTTTGAATCTGCCCGGGTACTGGTAGAATACAGGGGCATTCTTTTGACCACCAATAACACACGCTACCCATACTACACACCCAGCCACGGTTGGAAGCCTGCCTTTCTCGGGTCAAGGTCGTGGTTTTTTGTTCAGACCGTGTGGACCAAAATTTAGCATGTTAAGACCGTTGGAACCAGAAAATACTATGTTTTGACCCTGTGGACTGAGTGAATCCGATTTCAGTCCATGTGAACCGAATCAATCCGAATTCAGAAAACGTAGATCAAAAGAATCTGGTTTAGAACCCGTGTGGATTAAATTAAGCCCGGTTTCAGTATCATTTTAAGGTTTTGCAGACTTCTGTTCAGACTAAGCATATTCACTTTCAAACTTTGCAGACTTTTATTCAGATTCTGCTGGTTTCTCAAGTTGACCTCCATACACCAAAAAATCTTTTTATACTGTTTCATACAACCAATTATTTTAGAAGAAAAAACTATTCTTACAAATCTCATACAAAATTTCTATGAGAAAATGATAGTCATACAATTCTCATTTATGAGAATGGTATGACTGGCATTCTTCCGAAATAAAATTGTGTGACCTTAAACGGGAATTGTAATTTTCAAAATCTGTTTTTCCTCAATGAAATTATTTTTTTAACCAATTATGAACTTTTTCAAGCCATCGTAGCCCAACAAAAGTATCGCAACATCTTTTCTAGAAACAAAAAATCAAGAGAAAAGGACTTCAGTTCTCACATAAGAAAAGCTATCATACTTTTTCCAAGCAGTGAGAATAATAGAACGAAAATTTTTGTTCTGGCCAGCCATTTGAAAAATGGACAGAAATTTTGTAGGGTGTGTCTAAATTTTTTGTAACTTACTTTGTTATCCATGCAAAATTAGGTACTACAAATAATCATCGGACTGGATTGAGTGATATAACATTGGTAAAACCCATTCAGTCGTGGTTTGATAAACTTATCTGACTAAAACTGGCAGTCATTGGACTTTTCACCTGAGAAAACTTTATTTTCGAAATCTTACTCTGTAAAATTTTGAAACTTTTTTTAGACCAAAAACTGATGATTGCTAGTTAATTTTTTTGGTTACAGGTGCTTAGTTTAGTATGATGATTTTTTTATTTATTAAATTATCTATTTATCTAAATTTGCATTAAGGATGATAATCATCAGAAAGTTTTGTGTTTTACTCCGATTACTTTTTTTCTGATGCAGTTTTTCACTTTTTGCTTATGTTTTTATCGTGCAGTTTTTTTTAACTTTCATTTGGCTTTCTATCATATGACTTTAGTTTTGAAGTATTAAAGATTGATCTATTTGGGGAAAATGGTAGTCACACAAATTCTTTCTGATTGAAAATTATTAGTCCATAAATCTTTTTTTTTCTAAAGAAAAAATTGTGTGATAAACATTTTTTATCAAACCCGGTAGTTTTTCTGTTAAAATTGAAGTTTTAGTCATATTTACTATTTATCGTAAAGTGATAGTCAAACAATTCCCATTCATGATAAAAAATGTTAGTCATAAAATCCCTTTTTATGATTTAACACTAGTCATACGGTTCTCCTATGTGATCGTACATTTTCATTAAGAAAAAAGGATAGTTTTTCATTAATGCGAATACTAATCGTGCTGTTTTCATGAAACTTTTGAAACGATTGAAATCTATGGTCCATATATGAGAAATGTATGACTCGCTTTATTGGTCAACCTGGGTTGTGTTCTGACTTTGCAGTCTTATTTTTAGACTTTGCAGACATTGTTTAGACTTTGCAGACTTTGACATTCGTGGCGACTATGGATTTTCGGTCCCCGCGCGGATCGGTTCAGACTAATTAGGTCTGAACATAAAAACACGACCTCGATTTTCGAACGCTACCATTTCATCTATGTCAGTATGGTATACTTCGTCAACCAGGAACGTGGCTTTGCACGAGGTGTTATTGATGATCTCTTTGAACTTGCTGAGACAAGTGACATGGAAATATCTTTCTTGACAATATTTCTGCCTAAACGTTTCTAAATCTTCACGGAAAAATTTTTTCCGGTCAGGCAAGAAGTAATACACGTGTTCTGCTGATGAAACTTTTTGCTTCCCGCATTTTTCTACAGCAAGCGCGAGTAGCAATGATGACTTTCCGGATCCAGCCTCTCCGTAAATAACAAGTTGGCGAATGCCACTTCTCAGAATTGAGAGCTGCTGTGGACTTAGAACAATGTCAGATATCTGGAACTGGAACACCTTTCTGTCATCATATTTGACATCTGGAGCTTCGGATTTGTTTCCATATCGAGATTCGATATAATCATTTTGCTGCTGTTGAAGACGGTCACGGACGCTCAAAGGTTGTTGAAAACTGTACGATAGATAAATTATACCAGCTATGTAATGATGTAACGTTTTTTTCTGACATTCCGCTTGATTTTTCTTAAATGCCAAGATACCTGTCCACAAAGTTTGTTTGCAACATGATGATTGTCCCATCAGCCCGCTGAACTGATAAATCATTTTCTTCTCTGGGGATGATTCTACCGTTTCCTTCGTAATGAACCAAACTTGATTAAGAATGTCACTGGATGAACAATCAATGTCATCGACAACTTTTTTGCCAGCCGCTCGTTTTCTGTTATTATCACTGATTCGGCCGCTGATATGCTTACGAATGTCTTCCAATTGAACATTAGTGAGTGCAATAATGAACAAAACGTTCTCACCGAGATAAGCTCTGACAGTATTATTTTGTTCCTCGGTTGGTTCCTAAATACACAATTGTGAAATAGGTTTGTGTTCTTCTGAATAACGTAGTAAATGATTATTAGTGTTTAAAATCTAAATGCGAGGAGAGCGCGGAAACAGTGCGTCAAAGTTTAGTAGTCGGTTCTCCGGGGAACACTTTATGCATCAAACTGAATAGGCAAACTTAATCAATCGCCGCAGTAAGATTGCTCACCTGGTGAGTTGTGTATGTCTTGATGATACTCATCAGCATGTGTTGAATTCTCGGAACAGTCCTTGTAAGCATCTGTTCAATTTTCTCTTTGATGATTTTTGCAGGTATCCCGCCACAAGAGCGACCAACTTCTATCGCCACAAGTTGGTGGTTGTTGACGTAGAGCCAATCTATCTCAAAGCTGCAAAGACGATCATAGCAAAGAACTTTTTAAAAAATGTATGTGTTTTAAAAGACTTTTTTCGTCGAACAATCATTTCTTAACCCGAGCACAAAAATTTTAAGTTGTTTTGAAAGTTAAAACAAAAACCACTCACTTGTCAGTGTCAGATGCGTTTGAAAACACTCTGATCGAGTTTGAGCCATTAAAACTGTGTAGAAACAATCCCACTGCTTCATCAATGTTTGCAACACACTCATCCCAAAATTCGAGAAATTCGCCTATAATAGTGAAGAAGACTGAATAGTAATTATAAAAGAGACGCCATATCTAGTCACCTTGAGATTCAAAAAGTTTTATGTGTTTTATACGACTTTTAACAGGCCAAAAGTCATGAACACATTTCCAGAAACCTGTATTATTGATTTTGAGCTCATTGAGCAAATTTGAAATTTTATTTTGAAACCTTGGAAAGACCTTCAAGATTCTTCAAGATTTTTCAAGATCTTTACAGATCTCTAAGAAAATTATTTTTAAATTTTCATGATCATTTTTTCAAACTTTAAGGAGAAAAAAGATTTTTCAGCAAAAACGAAGTATCACTAACAAGAATTGAAGCAAAGTTAACAGAAATTGGTCAAGAAATCTATATTTCAATAATTTGGTAAACTTTCAATGGTCGAATTGCTGTTTTTCTGGTTAACATCCGAAAATATTGTGTTCGATACTGAGTGTTCGATAATAAACAACTTTAGTGCACTTTTTTATCATCAACCGTTTGCTTAGTTATCCGCCTTATTAATGCCTGAATTTACTGCTTCGAAATATTTTTAAACTGAAATCATCGGAAAACTTTGGAGGTTTTTTGGCAAAAATTAAACGTTTTACCGATGATCATTTTGTTGATACATTTTCGCAATCATTCGCTGTCTTGCGCTTGTCATTAGATTCAATTGCTTTGTTTTATGTTTTATTTTTTGGCCTTATTTTTTCATGGAAAAAAGTAATCGTAAAAATTTGAAAACTTTTGGCGAAAAATTAACTTTCTTTCTGATCTTTCTAAGTCAATTCAAGGTCGAAATGTTTCAATTTTGATTTTTTTAAATTCAATTTATTGTTTTTGGTGTTATTGTTTTTGTTTGTAAGATCAAACTGAAATAGATATTTGGTTTCAGTTTCTTGTTTTGTAACATTAAAAACCATTGAAGAGGTACGATTCGAAGAAAAACGACTTCAAATAACGCATTTTTGAGCAAATTATTTGACGGCACTAACAATTTAGATACAACGACGCAAAGTCTGACTCTAAGAAAAAAATTTTGTTTGCTCAAATACTTGATCTGGGTTTTCACAATTAGTCAAAGGATGTTATGTATCGAAACACGAGTTGTTTTGCTTAATGACGTTTCAAGTCTAAAATTCGTCTTGTTTAATAAATTTTGTTTAATGAAGTGCAAAAAAAAAACAATTGTTTAGAATGAATTACTTTCTGTGATGCCCTCAGAGAGGCAATAATCATTTTTTCAGCTGCTAGAGTTTTGTTAGTGTTTTGTCGGTTTAGTAATTAAAGATCACTTTTTAAACTTTCATTCAGTAATTAGTTTAAGAAACAAATATCACAAAAGAAAAAAAATAGAATTTATTAAAGCCCTTCGCGTGTTTTCTATGTTCATTTTGCGCGGTTTTTTTTGTGCAGTTGATAGGTATTACAAAAACATAGAAGTTAAAAGAGAAATTTCTTCCTTATTGGAATAAAATTACAATAAAGCTTGTAACTCTGAACAGAGTCCAGCTAGCGTTATTTATGTTCAAATGCAGCAGAAAAAAGCTCGACTTCAAACTATTCATCACTAATTGCTGTTTTAAATTTTCTAACTTTGCCAAAGTGTTTTTGTAAAGTTTGTAGATCACTTTACTTCAATATGCAATCCTGATAAGATGAAGTTTTTGGTTTTTATTTTAATGTATCAAATCTATCAATCGTTGTTTTTCGCTTATCAAAATTGTTATGTATTGTTTGGTTGGAACAAATTAAAAAAAGAAAGAAATTAAAAAACGCTTCAATTGGCACTCACACTCTTATTATTTTGACTTTCCTCATGCAAATTTTTATATTTTTTTAATCCAAATTTCGCTATAGTTTCAACTTCGATATGTCACTCACTGTGTTGTCAAATGAAAAAAAAAATAACTGCAAAGCGTTAAAATTATCCTTTATATTATCAAGGCATAGCATGAAGAACATTTTGCACTTGAAAAAGTCTAACAAATCAAGTCAACTTGCTATTTTACGTATTCTCGTAGTTTCTTGAAAATCAATTCTACTTTGATCATTTTTTGAGCTCTGGCACTTAAGAAGCTTGCAAAAGCTTAAGTGTTTTCAACTTAGAACATACATTGCATTAAGTCACACAAAACTCCGCAAAAATTTTAACTCGTTTTGTTGATTTTTGAAAAAATTGAGACAAGGCGTGGTTAAATTTAAACGTTTTTATCAACAAATTTAAAAAAAAAACTAAATCTTTTAATTAGAATCATTCGATTCAGCAAAATTTTATTTCTATATTGTAGGTTCAATAAGAAGAATATTTGATATGAGTTTGAGAAACTTCCCAAACAAATTACTTCGCGTTTTTTAACAATTTTTATTTCATCTGATACATCTCATATACTCTTCTCAGGTGTTTTTAGACAATTAAGATTTTTCAAATCCTAGATTATTTACTTGTGTGTTTTTTTTCTATATATTTTAAACTAAATTACAATATGACATCAACTCAATATTTGCGATATACCACTTGATTAATATAGATCAACAAGAGAGCAGAATGTTCTCAAAATTTTCTATAGGAGCCCTGGTCCTTTTTTCAGATTTTTCCTTAAATCAATATAAAACTCATGGGAAATTCTAATTTGATTTGCGCAGTTTTTGCAAAAGGATCTGCATCAAGGACCCAAAAAAGTATTTGGCAAACATAACAATGAGACCTGATTTGAATCTAGCTTAGCAGACTCGATGTCTAGTTTTGCATATATTCACCTGAAATTACCATGAATTCCATTGAGTTTTTGTTTGGTTATTTAATGTCTTTTTTTCATGAGCATCACCTTCCTTGTGTCTTGATCTCATATCTTGCTTGACGCAATCTCAGACATTCATCCCAATTAACTCATGATATAAATATTCTGTGCTGTAGCACGTCTTTAAATTCAGCTATTTTTTTCACTTTCATGTTCTTTTCTGGACTTCTGATTAGGGCCTTCTTCCATTGACTCTCCTTTACACAAGTCTCTAGCGCTACAAGACTGCTGAAGTTTTTTTGTAATTTCATCTGCATAAGAGAATCATCATTTTATCAAATTTTGCAAGAGGATCACTGGATAACTTTGTTTAGCTAGTGGTTTTCGCAACTGCTATGAACTCGTAGTTTGAATATTGAATTTTACATTTAAACAAGTTTTTTTTCGTTCAAGAATTTGACAAGAATTTGTTCACTTTTTAACGACTCATAGTACTCAGTCAATTAGCGTGCTTCGTCTCCCAAATTAGAGCATTTTGAATGTTTTCGTTATTTTTGAGAACAATTCTTAGTCGTTTTATTTAGTAATTTCAACTTAAGGAAAAGATCATAATATCGAAGCTTAAAAAACTCAGTAAATCGAACCTAGTTTTCTCAATAATTAATTTCAGGCGCACATACAATTAAAGCGCCAATTCTGATTTGTTACTCCAAGTTTTGCTGCTAAAACTGTCCTAACAACTATTTTATGTCATCATGGTCGTCTCATATTGTTTCCACTAAATTAAACATCTAAATGTCTTACTTTATAAGCGATGTAGAACTAAAGAGTTTGCTTTTATTTTAATAGTTTTGTATCATTCAATTACTATGCGATTATACTCATTCACTCCACTCAATTATTCATGAATTCACACATAGAAATAGAGAAAAAAAAGCAGTTTTATGAGGTAACACAATTTTTGATGAAGGTACTTATTGCGAAGCTGATCACTGTATCTTGATGTTAAAAACAGATAGTAAAAATATGGTACGCTGAATGAAAAACATTTTCTGAAACTGCTCATCGAGCAAGTCGATTTTACCTTCATCAATTTTTGGTTGCATTTCTGCTCGATCATTTTTAGGGTTATCATATTTCTTGTTTGTTGATGTGTTCTCGTGCTTGATTTGATATCAGAAGAGCAATGCCTTTTTTTGTGATAAAAAACCAGCTTAGCTGCTGATGAAGCAGGAAATTCGAATTATAAAACTTTTTGTTTTTCTTCCTCTTTGAGTGGGTGCTTTTGTTGCTTACTACTCGAAGCAAATTGAGTTTTAAACAAACCCCTATCAGTAGGGGATTGTTGAAAAAAAATGTTTAAGATCAGTATTTAATCAAATTTATGGCTAAACAGAAGAAATTGTGTCGCTGGATGATCCTGTTTCTTTCAATCTTTGCAACTGCTGTTAGATTGTCGCTTTATAGGGCAATTTTTTTAATCAACGTTTTTGTGTTCTTTTGTTAAAAATATTTCGTTGACTGGAAAAAGTTTTCTATAAAAAACCAATTGATCAGTTTTGTTTTCTTATTTCTCTCAATACCCCATTTTGCATAATTTGAATAATTTTTGAGAAATGAGAAACTTTTTGTCGTTTTATATAGAGAAAAGTCAATTTGAGCTAACGAAGCTTAAAGCTCCTAGTTAGTTGTAGATTGACTGCTGAAAAATCTAATGTTATAAGAAAGTTTCCGTTCGAAGCTGCCCTAGTATTTCGATTTGTCATTTTGTCGTTTTGAGTCGTTGAAAAATTTTTGAGATAAGAAGTTTTTTTTCTGTCGATTACCTTTTTTTTCTTCCAATGTCGTTTCAAAAATTCGATTGGGTAAAGCGTATTGATTGATGCTGGTTTTTTGGGTAATGAGAACAAGTGTCTGTCTTTAATGATTAGATTGGATTTGAATCTCCTAGTTTTTTCTTAGTTGCAGGTTGATTTCCTTTTCAGGCTGCTTTGTAAATTCTTGCTGCTTTAAAACCACATGAAAATTATTTTTGTCATTTTGCTTGCAGTGATACCTGTCTCTACAGTGCAGTTTGTAGTCCAGTATTGGCCCCCGCCTCTACGTAGAATGGGTGTCCATATGTTTCTCCAAAACTTTTTCGAAACTATATTCCGTACTTTTTTTAAATTTTTTTAATCACACAGCTTCGCGCTTCTAGCTGCTTGTTTTGGCACCTTGAGTAGTCACAGCTGAGGTGGATCTTTTTTTCAACAGGGTA